TGCTCTTAAGTTTCATCCAACCACAAAGTCCCAATATCTCTCCCTTCCCCCAGAAAAAAAAAAAGCAAAAAATTATATACATTACATATAGCTGCTGCCATTGTATTATTTAGGAATATAAGAATGAATTTCATACACGTAAAGAAGATTAAAAAAAATAAAAAAATTCAACCGTAGTTCCTAGTTAAATAGAATGTATTTGCCATAAGCTTTGATCACAAAGATTTATTCATTTTGTATATAAAAATGGGCAGTTCTATTTCTGGCCTAATTATATACGAATGAGTATTTTGTCTATTTCTGGCCTAATTATATATGAATGAGTATTTTGTCTCTAGACGTGGAATTCATGATTTCTTTACTCAAATCAAGAAGAAAGACGTCTAAGAGGCCAATGGGATTGAATATGAGGCAGCCAATGTTAGCAACACATTCAGTCAATTTTACCTAATAATAAAGGTAATGTTAAAGAAAGAGCGATAAAAATTGTTGAAATTTATTTTTGGGAAAATATTTTCTCTTATTAGTGACTTACAGTATAAGTGGGTCCCACTTTAAATTTTTTTTCTCCACTATTTTGTAGACTTCACTTATACAACGAGTCATTAGGAGAAACATTTTCTCCTTTAAAAAGAAGAAAATATTTTCCCTTTTATCTTTTCCTAAATAAGAATGGTCATCATTCCCATTTTTTTTTCATTTTTTTAAAAGAAGAAGTGGAATAATCACACACGACTCACTTTGAGATCCCAAAAATGACTTAGAGCTCATTTGGGAATTTTTTGTTCTTTAAAAAACAACAGAAATCAAAAGACAAATCTTGCTTCCATGATTATTATTGTTAAATCACATTATATGTGTACAATTTTTAAAATTTTGACATTAACAAGTTTATTATGAATATATTTGCTTACCAACTTTATTCTTTAACCCGACAGAAATTATCTTCGCCTAGGGTGTTAAAATTACTCGACACGACGTGAATTTGATACGATACGTGTAACTCCCCGTATATATCCGGTAATGTTATCATACTATCGTATTAAGCAGCGCTTAATTAAAAATGCGGAATATCTTTTTCTTTTCAATTATGATGTCATTATCATTGCCAACTTGCTTATTAATCAATTAATAAAACATCGCCTGTATGCAATTGCAATAAAACAGCTAACTGAAAATACCTCATAACATAGATAATAAAAGTGTGGCTCTAGTCACGGAACTACAACAACGTAGACTGGACCATCTAATAGTTTATACAACTCCAAACTAAAGTACTAACATAAGGTGTCATGGACAATCCCCATGCTCACTCAAATAAGGCAACACGCCCAACATCAGTCTCAACAACAACATAATCATAAATAGCGAAAAACATAAGCAGCATCCAAATCCAGTCATGGCAGCAATACAACATAGTATCATCAACTAAGCTCTGGCCTCCTGCCGCCAGAGGCATCAGTTACCAAACTACCGGAACCTGAAATAAGCATTCCCCAAACGTGGGGTGAGATCTCTAAACAAGAAATCTCAGTAAGACAAGGGGTCCTCAAGGATCTTCCACCCCAAGCTCTTACATGTGCAATATAAGTTTAAAAGCAGTTCATCATCATCAGTTCTGAAATAGTGCAATGCAACAGATAATCATGTCATGTGTGTCAATTCTATTCTACTGGCCAGAGAAATGCAGGATTTATATACTTCTAATACCCACAAATAGTGCAAGACGCTACTTGCATCCACCCTGGATCACCGTCTTATATGACGCCACATACTCAGGCTTACCGTCAAGATGGAACAACACATGCATATTAAAAGTCATTACACATAAAGCTCAACAACATTCCAAATATATCAAAGCATGTAACACAGCATACATATAACCATACCCCAAGGGACATGGTGGAACCACAACATGGCTAAACCGAGGACACGAAAGCTTACCTTGCAAGCTAACACTCAAAGCCAAGATTCCACAGCTCAAAGTCCAAACACAGCAGATTCACAATCTGTTATGGACCAATACTATATCAATAATAATGCACCACAAGCATATAACTTAAAGACAACGCCTTTCCTTTACGTTTTACGTCTTAAGGCTCCATACCAAGCCATAAGCCCTTAATCACTACGATTCTGACTTAGTTCATTAATTACAGAAGTTCAACTTCAACAATCTAGGGTCCACAAACCCCCAATAGCCTATTGTACACACAACACAGCTACTGTTCTACGAAATCCCAGAATATCCGGATATTCCTCGGAATCATATCTGGATATGCAATATCTGGATATTTCACTGTACATATCCGGATATACAATATCCGAGATTCCCATATCCGGATATCCAATATCCGGATGTCCAAATCCCATATCCGGATATTTCTCGGGCACATATCCAGATATTTCACGACAGAATGCAGAAACTGCATTTCGTGAAGATATCCTTCCAAGGTTGGATTTTTACCGATTTTAAACACCTAAACATGCATTTCTAGGTGTGTTTGACCAACCCCAACATTAAGTTATCATCTTTTAACCTTTACATGCATCAAGGTTCTATTTTTAAGCATAAAACTCATGATCAAAGGGTGGTACAACATACCAAGGCTCAAAACAGAGGATCAAAGGCTCTTGGAGCTCACCACACTGCCTCTACAGGTTCTGGAAATAAGGTGTACGAAAATACAACACCAAAGGTTGGTCCTTTCTTCACAAAAAAGCTTCTTTAAGCTCCAAAATGCCACCACAATGGCTCAACACTCTCAAGCCCCAAAGTCAGCAACCAAGGACCTTCCAAACAGAGGTAAAAACCCAGAATGATGCTCCTAACACACTCACCAAAGTGTTTCCCACTCACTCAAGGTGTTTAAGAAGAAGAAACCATAAAGAACAAGGAAGAAATGACTCCAAGACTCTCAAGAAAGAAGGAAACAATAATGAAACAGTGCCAAGGTGCACTCAGCCGCTCAAGTCACGTAGGAGTAGTGGTTCTAGGGTTTTGTGCCCAATTATTAGAGTATTTATAGCCACTTACCCAATTAACACACAATATTAACTTTAATTGCTACGCTTAGTATTTTAATCCCAAACTTTGGAATCTGAAACTACACATTTTTTCAAGAATTATCATATTTTTCTTATAATTTTTTGAGCACCTTTCCGGTACGCGCTTTTCAAAGCCACTACCGGTTTCTAGCACCAGTTCTCATTATTTGGACTTGAAACTCGTTTTACAAGTCCTACATATCATTCTAGTAATTATCATGCACTTATTATAATTTTTCGGGATACTTTTTCGGTACACATTTATACCGACTAGCAGAACCGGTATATGCACTTTTCTTCCGAAAAACGACTTTCAGCATTCTTAATCACTTACTATAATTATTAAGGTCAATTATGGAATCATTTTCTATTATCTCATAATTTATTAATTAAATTCCTTAATTAACGGTGCGGGTTCTTACAATACGAATATATTTAATATGGACACAATGTTGAGATATATAGTCCCACATTAATTAGATGTGCAACTAATGTGGCCTTTATAAGGCCTTGGGCACTCCCACCCTTTGAGCTAACTTTTGGAGTGATGTATCTCATGGTTCTTTACATGGTATCAGAGCTTGAGTGATTATAAGGTCACGATCCTCACCGTCCCCCACTTTAAAGTGGAATTAAAATAAAAGCACAAAAAGATAAAACAAAAATATAAAAGGTCTTGAACACTCTCACCCTTTTTATTTTAATTCCACCTTAAAGTGAGAGCGGTGAAGATTGAAAAAGGTGGGAGTTTCCAAGGCCTTATAAACTCCATATTAGTTGCACATACTATATATCTCAACATACAATACGAATTTTTATTTGTGTCAAATTTTTTGACATGATCATGATCCGAAGATTTTGAGGATTGACATGATACGATACGAATAACATGTAAATTATTAGTCAAAAAGATAATTGACCAAAAAATCATTAAAAAAATGGGTCGAATTTACAACAAAAAATAAAAAAAATAAAAAATTGGGTCAAACTCATCTTAACACAATATGATACGAATTTTTACATGTCATGTTTTTCTAACACACACGAATTTTAATATGAATCAACCTTGAACATAAATTTTCATGTGTGATGTGAAGAATTGAGACCCTATCTCTTCCCATACGCTACTTCACTGCAATAACCGATCTTATAGAATATTGAGTAAACATCTTTTTTGGTCTCTGGCAATATTTACGAAATCCTTTTTAGTCCCGGCAATAAAAAAAGACCAAATTGATCCCTAAAATTATGAAAAAAGGGTCACATTAGTCCACATGTCAACTCCTCCGTCACTAACGTGGCCCTTTTTGCATACTGCTAGGGACCAATTTGGTCCTTTTTTATTGCCAGGGACTAAAAAGGATTTCGTAGATATTGCCAGAAACCAAAAAAGGTGTTTACTCTAGAATATTTGACATGTAACAATATGCGGGTATTGTTCTAATTGCGGAACACAAAGGAGCAGTGTCAATTTCAGTTAGACAATAGTCCTTGAAACAAAAAGACGTTTAATGTCTTTTTTAGTTATATATTTAGGGGATTAGTATTTCTTTGACTTTTTTTTATTAATACTTAAATCTTTTTTGACTTTTAACTTAATTATTAGCTTGTTAAACTCTTTATTTTAATTTCTACGTACTTTTATTTCAATGAAATTAGATATGTCCAAACTCACTATAAAAAAGATTTGAAGCTTTTGCTTTTGCTTTTGCTCCAGAAAAAATTTCTCTACTTAAGTTTTATTATAAAGAGAGAAAAAAAATTAATTAAACCTATTCAATTTTATGTAAGTATGATAGAGAATTTTTTCTTTGTCAAAAATAAAAGTATTTTTTCCCTATAAAAAACTTTTGGCCTCGTTTAAATGTTTTTTTTTTTTTTTTTAAATTCGTTTAAATGTTTCTTGATCCATCCATAGTCATAGTTTTGTATATTGTTTGGGCCATAGGCCCGTGGTAGCGAAACCCTAACTAATCTGATTTTCTTTTTTAGCAAAACCCTGACTACGATTACCGTCTCCGTCAACGTCGATTGGCCGAGAAGGTATTGCGATTCCCGCTGTTTCTTCTCTGCTCAGTTTGGTATATTTCGAAGCTACTAATTGGTTTCAGCAATTATGTATTTGGAATTATATAATCTCTCATTTTGCGTTTCTTGGTTTTTTGTTTTGTCGTTGTTGTATGAATAAATTGATTTTTGGTTGTATCTTCACGGGTGAGTTTTGCCAAATGCTACTCGTGAATTACAAAGTTGTGAGTGTTAGTTGTTGTCTGGTTTTGTTCATGGAAATAGTTCTATAGCAATGAAGTTCCTGAGAAAAATAGTGACTAAACTCTTCGTGAGTTTTTTTGGAAGCAATAGTGTGCACTCTGCTAGTGTTATCCCTCTCTCTCACACCTTTTTTCTTTGAATGCTTCTTGACTCTAGTTTATAAGGCCAAAGGGAAAGAAGATGAAGACAATTTGTGGACATTGTGTTTCATTGAAAGAAATATCACTTTCAAAAGCAGCAAAAATTCTCTCCAAGTTTGTCTCTGCTGAGAACGGTGCTTCACATGTCATCAGTGCATATCTCCACCGGGCCTCTGCATCTTTCAATGAGCTGGACCATCTCCACAAGGAGCTTAAGTCGTCGCGCTCTCATAAGAAGAAGAACAAAGGGCAACGGTTTGGCAGTGAGTATGCTGATGACGATGATGAAAAATCAGCTCAGACTGTTGTTAATTTAAGTCAAGAACTTGATGGTTCTATTGGGTATCAAGCAGGAAATGTGGGTGGGAGTGAGAAGCACAAGAAGAATAAAAAGAAGAAACAGGAAGTTGAGTCCAGGCACGATAGAGATAGCGGAATTAAATTTGGAGAGAGGGAAGGTGATGAAAAACCATCTACTGTGGAAAAAAATGATTTTTTTTCAGGCCAAGAACAGGGCAATGAAGGTGAGAAACAAAAAAAGGAGAAGAAGAAAAAGCACAAGGATGGTAATTGTAATTTTTCCGGTAATAAGGGTGAGGTTGAGAATCTCGAAGGTGAGAATACAGAGGGACAAGAACAACAGAAAGAGATAGAAAAGAAGCTATTCAACAGTGTGGAGGGGGGAAATGGAGGGCTAGTTGGTCCTCAGGACTTACAAATTAAGAAGAAAAGGAAACACGAGGCAGGGAATGAGAGTAAGTTGTATGCTGAAGAGGTAAAGATGGAGCAAAGGAGGAAGAGGAAGAATGACGATGTGGAAGGGATACAAGAAGATAGATCTGGGGATCTGAGTAAGAAGAGAATGAAAAGGAAGCACCAGAGCGATCCTCAGTTTTAGGTTTTTTATAAATTCACTTGATAGTTGTTTAATCTTTTTTGAAATTGATGAGGAATTTGCACCTGTGGGATTGCTTACATTGTGGCATCAGTTTTTGAACTATCATATAATATGAGAGGAATTTGCTTCTTGATTTCTTTCCTACATATTTTTTTTTTTACCATACTTTCATATGGTCTTACAAGTGTTACTGCATAGAAAAGGCATTATTTCTATTGCAATCATCAGCTGTTGGTGTACTAAATCCATCGTGTAGACAATGTACTGCAATCACCAGAGATAATTGGCTCTTGGAGTTAACATATTTTTAAGGTAACTACTTTTTCTTTATTGAAAAATAAAAATAAAATACCGTGTCATATGAATTCTGGCAGGTTCACTGATATTAGTTGTCAGAATTTGGTGCCACTAATGCAGAATTTGTAAATACATAAAGAAAGCTGCGTATTTAATGATTACGTAGTGTTTATATATGTTTTGGTTGTAAATTTATTCTGGCCATAGTCACAGATGTAGCTAGAAGCACTAATCTTAATTGCATTGGGTAGGAGAACATATCTAATATCCAAATCTTGTGTTCTTGACATGTTAGGAAATTTGTTTTCCAGTGGCTTAGCATTAATCTCCTTGTTCAGAGGTTAAGTTACATAATCCTGCTGTGTCTAGTAAAATTCAATTTTGCCTACAGATTTTTCATACGAGATCATAAGCATAAAAATGTATGCTAACAGGTTGCTTCCCTCCAGAGATTGGTTATTACCAAAAGTTTGAAGCTTGTTCAACAATATACTAACTTAAAAATCATAACAGCAGAAGAAAGTACCAGCAGATAATGGAATTGTGAATGTTTTATTATGGTTCGTGGTAGCTTATTTGGTAGTAAGGGAGCTGAGCAGTGGAAAGGAAAGGGCCTTGGTTTGATTTTCACATGCCACTTTTGGGAGGGGTTTAAATATCTTCATCTCTGACTCGCTTTGCACTCTGGATTAGTCTCATAGCCAGTTCAAAGAGTCGAAGCTTGTGGGGATACGGGGGGAGGGAATGGTTCCAGCTTACCTGATCAGTTGTTTCTTCAGTTAAATGTAATTTGTTTTTTTTAATGTAGTGGACTACATTGGAATTCAATTGGATAAACAGTTCCGCTTATTTTTTAACTATATGTATGCTAATCGATACTAGATTTTGCTTGTTTTTCGATGCTTTTATGTGCATTATATGATGTAATTCTATCCGTAAATATAGACTTCGAATTATATGTTCATGATGGTCATATTGCATTAACGATCTAACATCATATAGCATCTTCAATTTTCTTCTTTTGCTTTTTAATTGCCTTTTATTTCAATTAAATATGAGAAACGCTGGTTCAAAAAACTCTGCAGACTGACTATTCTGCACATTATAATGTATTTATTTTTGGTTTGGAATTTTATGCAGAGCAACCCAGGCTGGCTATTTGACGAGAAAGGCTATTTATTTTTGGTTTGGGATTGATGATCGTATTTTGTTACCATTTTGTGCTACTAAATAAAAGAAGCCAAAGTAATGACTCCAAAGTAAAATGTAATGAAAGACCCTACTAGCACTTCATTCGTTTAAAAATTGACAATCATGTTATTAACAGTAGCTTTAAACTACTCAGCATTCACTAAGTGAGATCGTCATCTGAGTTTTCTGATAAAAACAAAGGGAAAAATACTTCTCATGTTATGATAAGTGTTTTCTCATGTTGTGTCTTTTCGATTTGTGTGTAATTTTTTTTTTCTTTTTCTTTTTTTTAGTAAGTGTGGGATCCATAACTAATTGAGTCATAACATGATAATTGAATTTTCATGCAATATGAGAAAATCAAAGTCCAAGAACAAATTACATACATGTTTACGCTATTACTTTAATAATGCCTCAACCCACCTCCCCAAAAATGATAAGAAGAATGCGAAATCTACAATTACTTGTTTCTTTATATTTTGGAAGGCACATGACCTGTTGGAAAGCTTATTGGGTATGGCTCAAATACCACGTGAGCACATGCAAAGCCTTCATGTGATAATGTTCCCCTAGTGCACCTTAATTGGGTGAATGGTTATTTAAACAGTACACCTTAACCTCTATATTTCTCCCTGCGATATAAAACTAAATTGGAGCTGCACAACGGTTCTCTCAGATAATTTTCCAGTGTATAGCTTCAGATAATCAACTCAACACGACAAAGGGAACTTTATATCTGAAAATCAATGGTACAACCACCAATCAGCTCTGCAGCCTCAACTTCAGAGAATATGGAGTCATAATTATCTGAGGATACAGATGCTAAAAATGTGTATCTCAGATTTTTGTACCCTTGTCTAGGTATTTCGTGCATTTCTTCGTGATATGCGTCTAACATATGGTGATTTCTAAGTAAAAGAAGCAAGGAATTAATCATAAATGTGTGAAAATAAGTTCATAAATGCAAGAAATATTGATTATTCCTTCTCAATCATTCTCTTGCTCAATTTATGCATTTTGATAGCATGAAACACCAAAAAGAAGTGAAAGAGAGAAGTTGAAATTGCATAGTCTTGCGCAAAACGCACGAAAATGGCGTGATCCGCGTGATTTTGGCAAATTACTTTCTGTTTGTACGCACGATCCGCGCGGATTTGGCGTTGATTGCGCAGGCGTCATCATAAATGCAGTCCTTGATTTGTGGAGTCGCGAATTTGGTACTGATCGCGCGAGCGTCATGAATGCATTCCTTGATTTGTGGAGTTTGGTGAAAATGGAAATTTAATCAAATTAATGAGAGGATTATGACTTGATTGATTGGTGGAATTATGAGAAAAATGGAAATTTAATCAGAATTAATTAGAGGATTATGACCTGATTGATTGGTGGAATTATGAGGAAAATGGAAATTCAATCAGAATTAATTCAAGGATTATGACCTGATTGAGTAGCTGGCTATATAAAGGAAGCAGAAACTCTAAAAGAGGATCATCTTTTGGCAAGGAGAAATTGGAGAGGAAGCTCTCGGTGACTGAAGATTCAAGACTTCTTCTTCTTCCGGTTTTACATTTTCATGAACTCTTTCTCATTATTTAAATTGTCAAATATGAATATGTCTGGCTAGTCTTTTTTTATTGTGGTAAGGGTCACAACCCTTGATGTGAACCCCTTCTATTTTGGTTAAGTTTATGGTTAATTATTTAATTGAATTTATTTTACTTTATTCTTCATCCCATAATTCTTTTAGAATTCGCGACTCTATTAGGATTGCGAGGGTTAGGGTTTACAATAGGAATATTGGGATTCAAATTCCTGACATAGGGTAAGATAACTGTTCATGTATGCACTAGGGATAGGCTATATGAACTGCAAATGTAGAAAATTCACTGGGCTTAAAGATTAACTTGAAAAAGGATTTCTAAGGGATTAGAATTCTAATAGGGTTAATAAGGTTAAGATCACTAAGGGATTAGGGCTTAACTCATTAATATAGATGGTGAATTATTTGGTCAATTAGATAATTAAAGATAAATATTAATCAATATTACAAGGTGGGGATCGGAAAGGTGTTGGAGTCCTTTACTGCAATAGTTTATTTACAATATTTTCTCAAATCTCAACCCCTATTGCTTTAAGTTTTCAACTTTTCTCAAGTTCTAGAAATAAATGGCCTCTAGCTTTACTTGGACTTCAACTTTTCTTAAGTTTTCAACCACTCATCTACCATTTCTTTCCAGCAATACTCTTATTGTTTGCTGGAAAGAGTCCGTGCGAGTTGACTAATATCCTTTGATCCATGCTTTCGGAGAGAATTGACAGCCTTTCCAATCTCAGTTGTCTCTAGAAGGATCCACTGTGAGTTCCATAAGCTGGAGCCTCCTCAATAACTCAAATAACACAGAGTCACACTCTTCTTTAAAGTTAAGCAGAACATTTCGGATCCTCAAAACCTCCCCAACATGCTGAAACTCTCCTTCAACCTCATCAGTTAATGCCTCAGCTTCCCCAAAGCTATAATTGCTAACATGAGTCACATGCATCTCTCCACGGCCATCTCTGCTGCTGTTGACCTTACTCTCTTCACTTGCCCTTGCTTCAAGGGCAAGCCCATCTCTTTTAAAACCCTCTTGAAACCCCCATGATCATCAACCTCTTCATGATCCCCAGATACTGCCAGCTCCACCCTTTCACACCCCCAAAATCGATGGCATTGATTATGGAAATTCTCCACAGAGTGGACAATTCAACAGAAACTGTGAAAATGGGAGGAAGCCAGCTTTGGACAGTCAAGTTGTAGAAAAGAGGAAATCTGAGGATTCCATTGAGACATCCATCACTGCCAAGGACAGTAAGAGTCAGCAACCAAGGGAAAATGAGGTTGCTGTGAGGCTAAATAAACCAGAAACTGCTGATAATGGCCCTGTCAGACCCCAAAATCAACTATGCAGCGAAAAAGCAATATGGAGCCAAAGATGCAGCCAAAAATAGAGAACAATACAATCCCAAAGAAACCTCCCATGATTCAGAAAGATAAATCCAAGTTTTCAGATGAACCCGCACTCCAAGTAAAGCTAGAGGCCACTAAGAGGAAACTTCATGAGCGTATTGAAAATGCTAAGAGGCAGAGGACAATACAAGTTCTAGAAATAAATGGCCTCTAGCTTTACTTGGACTGCAACTTCATTTGAAAACTTGGATTTATCTTTCTGAATCATAGGAGGCTTCTTTGGGATTGTATTGTTCTCTATTTTTGGCTGCATCTTTGGCTCCATATTGCTTTTTCGCTGCATAGTTGATTTTGGGGGTCGGACAGGGCCATTATCAACAGTTTCTGGTTTATTTAGCCTCACAGCAACCTCATTTTTCCTTGGTTGCTGACTCTTACTGTCCTTGGCAGTGATGGATGGCTCAATGGAAGCCTCAGATTTCCTCTTTTCTACAACTTGACTGTCCAAAGCTGGCTTTCTCCCATTTTCACAGTTTCTGTTGAATTGTCCACTCTGTCGAGGATTTCCATAATCATCCATGCCATCGATTTTGGGGTGTGAAAGGGTGGATCTGGCAGTATCTGGGGATCATGAAGAGGTTGATGATCATGGGGGTTTCAAGAGGGGTTTTTAGAGAGATGGGCTTGCCCTTGAAGCAGGGGCAAGTGAAGGGAGCAAGGTCAACAGCAGCAGAGATGGCCATGGAGAGATGCATGTGAATCATGTTAGCAATTATAGCTTTGGGGAAGCTGAGGCATTAACTGATGAGATTGAAAAAGAGTTTCAGCATGTTGGGGAGGTTTTGAGGATCCCAAACGTTCTGCTTAACTTTAAAGAAGAGTCTTACTCTGTGTTATTTTAGTCATTGAGGAGGCTCCAGCTGATGGAACTCACAGTGGATCCTTCTAGAGGCAACTGAGATTAGAAAGGCTGTCAATCCTCTCCGAAAGCATGGATCAAAGGATATTAGTCAACTCGCACCACTCATCTACCATTTCTTTCCAGCAATACTCTTATTGATTGCTGGAAAGAGTCCGTGCGAGTTGACTAATATCCTTTGATCCATGATTTCGGAGAGGATTGACAGCCTTTTCAATCTCAGTTGCCTCTTGAAGGATCCACTGTGAGTTCCATCAGCTGGAGCCTCCTCAATGACTCAAATAACACAGAGTCAGACTCTTCTTTAAAGTTAATCAGAACGTTTCGGATCCTCAAAACCTGCCCAACATGTTGAAACTCTTCTTCAATCTCATCAGTTAATGCCTCAGCTTCCCCAAACCTATAATTGCTAACATGATTCACATGCATCTCTCCACGGCCATCTCTGCTGCTGTTGACCTTGCTCTCTTCACTTGCCCTTGCTTCAAGGGCAAGCCCATATCTCTTGAAACCCCCATGATCATCAACCTCTTCATGATCCCCAGATACTGCCAGATCCACCCTTTCACACCCCCAAAATCGATAGCATGGATGATTATGGAATCCTCGACAGAGTGGACAATTCAATAGAAACTGTGAAAATGGGAGAAAGCCAGTTTTGGACAGTCAAGTTGTAGAAAGGAGGAAATCTGAGGCTTCCATTGAGCCATCCATCACTGCCAAGGACAGTAAGAGTCAGCAACCAAGGAAAAATGAGGTTGCTGTGAGGCTAAATAAACCAGAAACTGCTGATAATGGCCCTGTCAGACCCCCAAAATCAACTATGCAGCGAAAAAGCAATATGGAGCCAAAGATGCAGCCAAAAATAGAGAACAATACAATCCCAAAGAAACCTCCCATGATTCAGAAAGATAAATCCAAGTTTTCAGATGAATATGCAGCCCAAGTAAAGCTAGAGGCCTCTAAGAGGAAACTTCATGAGCGTTATCAACAAGTTGAAAATGCTAAGAGGCAGAGGATAATACAAGTTCTAGAAATAAATGGCCTCTAGCTTTACTTGGACTGCAACTTCATCTGAAAACTTGTATTTATTTTTCTGAATCATGGGAGGCTTCTTTGGGATTGTATTGTTCTCTATTTTTGGCTGCATCTTTGGCTCCATATTGCTTTTTCGCTACATAGTTAATTGTGGGGGTCTGACAGAGCCATTATCAGCAATTTCTGGTTTAATTAGCCTCACAGCAACCTCATTTTTCCTTGGTTGCTGACTCTTACTGTCCTTGGCAGTGATGGATGGCTCAATGGAAGCCTCAGATTTCCTCCTTTCTACAACTTGACTGTCCAAAGCTGGCTTTCTCCTATTTTCACAGTTTCTGTTGATTTGTCCACTCTGTCAAGGATTTCCATAATCATCCATGCCATCGATTTTGGGGGTGTGAAAGGGTGGATCTGGCAGTATCTGGGGATCATAAAGAGGTTGATGATCATGGGGGTTTCAAGAGGGGTTTTAAGAGAGATGGGCTTGCCCTTGAAGCAGGGGCAAGTGAAGCGAGCAAGGTCAACAGCAGCAGAGATGGCCGTGGAGAGATGCATGTGAATCATGTTAGCAATTATAGCTTTGGGGAAGCTGAGGCATTAACTGATGAGGTTGAAGGAGAGTTTCAGCATGTTGGGGAGGTTTTGAGGATCCGAAACGTTCTGCTTAACTTTAAAGAAGAGTCTGACTCTGTGTTATTTGTGTTATTAAGGAGGCTCCAGCTGATGGAACTCACTGTGGATCCTTCTAGAGGCAACTGAGATTGGAAAGGCTGTCAATCATCTCCGAAAGCATGGATCAAAGGATATTAGTCAACTCGCACGAATTCTTTCCAGCAATCAATAAGAGTATTGCTGGAAAGAAATGGTAGATAAGTGGTGCGAGTTGACTAATATCCTTTGATCCATGCTTTCGGAGAGGATTGACAACCTTTCCAATCTCAGTTGCCTCTAGAAGGATCCACAGTGAGTTCCATCAGCTGGAGCCTCCTCAATGACTCAAATAACACAGAGTCAGACTCTTCTTTAAAGTTAAGCAGAACGTTTCGGATCCTCAAAACCTCCCCAACATGCTGAAACTCTTCTTCAATCTCATCAGTTAATGCCTCAGCTTCCCCAAAGCTATAATTGCTAACATGATTCACATGCATCTCTCCACGGCCATCTCTGCTGCTGTTGACCTTACTCTCTTCAATTGCCCTTGCTTCAAGGGCAAGCCTATCTCTCTTAAAACCCCTCTTGAAACCCCCATGATCATCAACCTCTTCGTGATCCCCAGATACTGCCAGATCCACCCTTTCACACCCCCAAAATCGATGGCATGGATGATTATGAAAATCCTCGACAGAGTGGACAATTCAACAGAAACTGTGAAAATGGGAGAAAGCCAGCTTTGGACAGTCAAGTTGTAGAAAGAAGGAAATCTGAGGCTTCCATTGAGCCATCCATCACTGTCAAGGACAGTAAGAGTCAGCAACCAAGGAAAAATGAGGTTGCTGTGAGGCTAAATAAACCAGAAACTGCAGATAATGGCCCTGTCGGACCCCCAAAATCAACTATGCAGCGAAAAAGCAATACAGAGCCAAAGATGCAGCCAAAAATAGAGAACAATACAATCCCAAAGAAGCCTCCCATGATTCAGAAAGATAAATCCAAGTTTTCAGATAAAGTTGCAGTCCAAGTAAAGGTAGAGGCCATTTATTTCTAGAACTTGTATTGTCCTCTGCCTCTTAGCATTTTCAACTTGTTGATAACGCTCATGAAGTTTCCTCTTAGTGGCCTCTAACTTTACTTGGACTGCAGCTTCATCTGAAAACTTGGATTTATCTTTCTAATCATGGGAGGTTTCTTTGGGATTGTATTGTTCTCTATTTTTGGCTGCTTCTTTGGCTCTATATTGCTTTTTCGCTGCATAGTTGATTTTGGGGGTCTGACAGGGCCATTATCAGCAGTTTCTGGTTTATTTCGCCTCACAACAACCTCATTTTTCCTTGGTTGCTGACTCTTACTGTCCTTGGCAGTGATAGATGGCTCAATGGAAGCCTCAGATTTCCTCCTTTCTACAACTTGACTGTCCAAAGCTGGCTTTCTCCCATTTTCACAGTTTCTGTTGTATTGTCCACTCTGTCGAGGATTTCCATAATCATCCATGCCATCGATTTTGGGGGGGTGAAAGGGTGGATCTGGCAGTATCTAGGGATCATGAAGATGTTGATGATCATGGGGGTTTCAAGAGGGGTTTTAAGAGAAATGGGCTTGCCCTTGAAGCAATGGCAAGTGAAGAGAGCAAGGTCAACAGCAACAGAGATGGCCGTGGAGAGATGCATGTGAATCATGTTAGCAATTATAGCTTTGGGGAAGCTTAGGCATTAACTGATGAGATTGAAGAAGAGTTTCAGCATGTTGGGGAGGTTTTGAGGATCCGAAACGTCCTGCTTAACTTTAAAGAAGAGTCTGACTCTGTGTTATTTGAGTCATTGAGGAGGCTCCAGCTGATGGAACTCACTGTGGATTCTTCTAGAGGCAACTGAGATTGGAAAGGCTGTCAATCCTCTCCGAAAGCATGGATCAAAGGATATCAATAAGAGTATTGCTGGAAAGAAATGGTAGATGAGTGGTGCGAGTTGACTAATATCCTTTGATCCATGCTTTCGGAGAGGATTGACAGCCTTTCCAATCTCAGTTGCCTCTAGAAGATCCACAGTGAGTTCCATCAGCTGGAGCCTCCTCAATGACTCAAATAACACAGAGTCAGACTCTTCTTTAAAGTTAAGCAGAACGTTTCGGATCCTCAAAACCTCCCCAACATGCTGAAACTCTTCTTCAATCTCATCAGTTAATGCCTCAGCTTCCCCAAAGCTATAATTGCTAACATGATTCACATGCATCTCTCCACGGCCATCTCTGCTGCTGTTGACCTTGCTCTCTTCACTTGCCCCTGCTTCAAGGGCAAGCTCATCTCTCTAAAAACCCCTCTTGAAACCCCCATGATCATCAACCTCTTCATGATCCCCAGATACTTCCAGATCCACCCTTTCACACCCCCAAAATCGATGGCATGGATGATTATGGAAATCCTCGACAGAGTTGAAAATTCAACAGAAACTGTGAAAATGGGAGAAAGCCAGCTTTGGACAGTCAAGTTGTAGAAAGGAGGAAATCTGAGGCTTCCATTGAGCCATCCATCACTGCCAAGGACAGTAAGAGTCAGCAACCAAGGAAAAATGAGGTTGCTGTGAGGCTAAATAAACCAGAAACTGCTGATAATGGCCCTGTCAGACCCCCAAAATCAACTATGCAGCGAAAAAGCAATATGGAACCAAAGATGCAGCCAAAAATAGAGAACAATACAATCCCAAAGAAGCCTCCCATGATTCAGGAAGATAAATCCAAGTTTTCAGATGAAGTTGCAGTCCAAGTAAAGCTAGAGACCATTTATTTCTAGAACTTGTATTGTCCTCTGCCTCTTAGCATTTTCAACTTGTTGATAACGCTCATGAAGTTTGCTATTAGTGGCCTCTAGCTTTACTTGGACTGCAGCTTCATTTGAAAACTTGGATTTATCTTTCTGAATCATGGGAGGTTTCTTTGGGATTGTATTGTTCTCTATTTTTGGCTGCATCTTTGGCTCCATATTGCTTTTTCGCTGCATAGTTGATTTTGGGGTCTGACAGGGCCATTATCAGCAGTTTCTGGTTTATTTAGCCTCACAGCAACCTCATTTTTCCTTGGTTGCTGACTCTTACTGTCCTTGGCAGTGATGGATGGCTCAATGGAAGCCTCAGATTTCCTCCTTTCTACAACTTGACTGTCCAAAGCTGGCTTTCTCCCATTTTCACAGTTTCTGTTGAATTGTCCACTCTGTCGAGGATTTCCATAATCATCCATGCCATCGATTTTGGGGGTGTGAAAGGGTGGATCTGGCAGTATCTGGGGATCATGAAGAGGTTGATGATCATGGGGGTTTCAAGAGGGGTTTTTAGAGAGATGGGCTTGCCCTTGAAGCAGGGGCAAGTGAAGAGAGCAAGGTCAACAGCAGCAGAGATGGCCGTGGAGAGATGCATGTGAATCATGTTAGCAATTATAGCTTTGGGGAAGCTGAGGCATTAACTGATGAGATTGAAGAAGAGTTTCAGCATGTTGGGGAGGTTTTGAGGATCCGAAACGTTCTGCTTAACTTTAAAGAAGAGTCTGACTCTGTGTTATTTGAGTCATTGAGGAGGCTCCAGCTGATGGAACTCACTGTGGATCTTCTAGAGGCAACTGAGATTGGAAAGGCTGTCAATCCTCTCCGAAAGCATGGATCAAAGGATATTAGTCAACTCGCACGGACTCTTTCCAGCAATCAATAAGAATATTGCTGGAAAGAAATGGTAGATGAGTGGCGATGAGTGGTGCGAGTTCACTAATATCCTTTGATCCATGCTTTCGGAGAGGATTGACAGCCTTTCCAATCTCAGTTGCCTCTAGAAGATCCTCAGTGAGTTCCATCAGCTGGAGCCTCCTCAATGACTCAAATAACATAGAGTCAGACTCTTCTTTAAAGTTAAGCAGAACGTTTCGGATCCTCAAAACCTCCCCAACATGCTGAAACTTTTCTTCAATCTCATCAGTTAATGCCTCAGCTTCCCCAAAGCTATAATTGCTAACATGATTCACATGCATCTCTCCACGGCCATCTCTGCTGTTGTTGACCTTGCTCTCTTCACTTGCCCCTGCTTCAAGGGCAAGCCCATCTCTCTAAAAACCCCTCTTGAAACCCCCATGATCATCAACCTCTTCATGATCCCCAGATACTGCCAGATCCACCCTTTCACACCCCCAAAATCGATGGCATGGATGATTATGGAAATCCTCGACAGAGTGGACAATTCAACAGAAACTGTGAAAATGGGAGAAAGCCAGCTTTGGACAGTCAAGTTGTAGAAAGGAGGAAATCTGAGGCTTCCATTGAGCCATCCATCACTGCCAAGGACAGTAAGAGTCAGCAACCAAGGAAAAATGAGGTTGCTGTGAGGCTAAATAAACCAGAAACTGCTGATAATGGCCCTGTCAGACACCCAAAATCAACTATGCAGCGAAAAAGCAATATAGAGCCAAAGAAGCAGCCAAAAATAGAGAACAATACAATCCCAAAGAAACCTCCCATGATTCAGAAAGATAAATCCAAGTTTTCAAATGAAGCTGCAGTCCAAGTAAAGCTAGAGGCCACTAATAGCAAACTTCATGAGCGTTATCAACAAGTTGAAAATGCTAAGAGGCAGAGGACAATACAAGTTCTAGAAATAAGTGGCCTCTAGCTTTACTTGGACTGCAGCTTCATCTGAAAACTTGGATTTATCTTTCTGAATAATGAGAGGTTTCTTTGGGATTGTATTGTTCTCTATTTTTGGCTGCATCTTTGGCTCCATATTGCTTTTTCGCTGCATAGTTGATTTTGGGGGTCTGACAAGGCCATTATCAGCAGTTTCTGGTTTATTTAGCCTCACAGCAACCTCATTTTTCCTTGGTTGCTGACTCTTACTGTCCTTGCCAGTGATGGATGGCTCAATGGAAGCCTCAGATTTCCTCCTTTCTACAACTTGACTGTCCAAAGCTGGCTTTCTCCCATTTTCACAGTTTCTGTTGAATTGTCCACTCTGTCGAGGATTTCCATAATCATCCATGCCATCGATTTTGGGGGTGTGAAAGGGTGGATCTGGCAGTATCTGGGGATCATGAAGAGGTTGATGATCATGGGGGTTTCAAGAGGGGTTTTAAGAGAGATGGGCTTGCCCTTGAAGCAGAAGCAAGTGAAGAGAGCAAGGTCAAAAGCAGCAGAGATGGCCGTGGAGAGATGCATGTGAATCATGTTAGCAATTATAGCTTTGGGGAAGCTGAGGCATTAACTGATGAGATTGAAGAAGAGTTTCAGCATGTTGGGGAGATTTTGAGAATCCGAAACGTTCTGCTTAACTTTAAAGAAGAGTCTGACTCTGTGTTCTTTGAGTCATTGAGGAAGCTCCAGCTGATGGAACTCACTGTGGATCCTTCTAGAGGCAACTGAGATTGGAAAGGCTGTCAATCCTCTCTGAAAGCATGGATCAAAGGATATTAGTCAACTCGCACGGACTCTTTCCAGCAATAAATAAGAGTATTGCTGGAAAGAAATGGTAGATGAGTGGTGCGAGTTGACTAATATCCTTTGATCCATGCTTTCGGAGAGGATTGACAGCATTTCCAATCTCAGTTGCCTCTAGAAGGATCCACAGTGAGTTCCATCAGCTGGAGCCTTCTCAATGACTCAAAGAACACATAGTCAGACTCTTCTTTAAAGTTAAGCAGAACGTTTCGGATCCTCAAAACATCCCAACATGCTGAAACTCTTTTTCAATCTCATCAGTTAATGCCTCAGCTTCCCCAAAGCTATAATTGCTAACATGATTCACATGCATCTCTCCACGGCCATCTCTGCTGCTTTTGACCTTGCTCTCTTCACTTGCCCTTGCTTCAAGGGAAAGCCCATCTCTCTTAAAACCCCTCTTGAAATCCCTATGATCATCAACCTCTTCATGATCGCCAGATACTGCCAGATCCACCCTTTCACACCCCCAAAATCGATGGCATGGATGATTATGGAAATCCTCGACAGAGTGGACAATTCAACAGAAACTGTGAAAATGGGAGAAAGCCAGCTTTGGGCAGTCAAGTTGTAGAAAGGAGGAGATCTGAGGCTTCCATTGAGCCATCCATCACTGCCAAGGACAGTAAGAGTCAGCAACCAAGGAAAAATGAGGTTGATGTGAGGCTAAATAAACCAGAAACTGCTGATAATGGCCCTGTGAGACCCCCAAAATCAACTATGCAGCGAAAAAGCAATATGGAGCCAAAGATGCAGCCAAAAATATAGAATCTGCACCTAATGAGACCCAACCTGCATTTCGTCCAGATGAGTTGGAACGGCTCCGAACCATTCTTGATTCTATGAGTAAGCCATCTGATACTAGTGCTTTGACTATGACTGGTATGAGCTCCAAAACTTATTCTTTCCTTTCTTCATGTAATGATTTTAAACATTCTTGGGTTGTTGATTCTGGTGCTACTGATCATATGGCTTGTTGTGCTGACTCCTTTACTTCTTATCATCCTACCATTGGAACTCATACAATAGCCGTAGCTGATGGCTCTCATACATCAGTTGCGGGTTCTGGTGACATAAACTTACAGCAGAATTGTACTGTAAACTTCTATCCTACCCATTGTGTTTTTCAGGATCTCGCCACGGGGAAGACGATTGGTAGTGCTAAAGAGCAAGGTGGGTTGTACTATCTGGTGTCACAATCTCCTGCAAATAAGTAACAGATCACATCTTGATGTCTCATGGTCAATCAACTGCTGATTCTTTGATTTGGCTTCATCATAAGCGCTTAGGTCATCCTCCATTTAGTTTACTCAAATCTTTATTTCCGTCATTGTTTTTGTCTAAATCTGTTGAGTCTTTTCATTGTGATGTTTGTGAATTTGCTAAGCATCATCGTGTGTCTTTTCCTTCTAGTATTACTAAGAGTGTTGAACCTTTTGATCTTATTCATTCTAATGTTTGGGGTCCCTCTAAAGTCCCTCATGCTTCTGGAAATAGATGGTTTGTTTCTTTTATTGATGATTGCACTCGTGTAACTTGGGTGTACTTAATGCGTGAAAAGTCTGAGGTACCACAACTGTTCTTTCAATTTTATAAAATGATTGAGACCCAGTTTGGTAAAAAAAATCAAGAGACTAAGAACAAATAATGGTACTGAATATGTTAATCACAGCTTTTCCCAATTTATAAGAAGTAACGGTATGATTCATGAACTTACTTGTGTTGACACCCCCAACAGAATGGGGTTACTGAAAGAAAAAATCGTCACCTTCTTGAAGTGGCTCGTGCATTAATGTTTCAGACACATGTACCCAAATACTATTGGGGAGATGCTATTCTTACTGCAGCATTCTTGATCAACCGTTTACCCACTCGGGTACTTGACCATGTAAGTCCTATTCACTCTATGACTTCTTTTTCCCTTCTATTCCAACTATGATGAGTCTTCCTCCACGAGTGTTTGGGTGTGTTGCTTTTGTTCATGTTCATAAACATCATCGTAGTAAGTTGGACCCTATGGCTATTAAATGTGTTTTTCTTGGTTATGTTCCTGATAAGAAGGGCTACAAGTGCTATCACCCTAGTAGTAGGAAATTTTTTGTTTCTATGGATGTTACATTTCAGGAATCTGAGTCTTTTTCCAAGGTCCTCATCTTCAGGGGGAGAATCCTTCACCAGAAATCTCATCACCTCCCTTCCTTGAGTTTGAATCATCAGTGTCTACTCCTTTACCTATGTCAGTGTATCCTCCACCTGGTCCTGTTCCTCCTGTGTCTGTTCCTCCTGTGTCTGATCCTCTTGTGAGTAATCCTCCTGTGACTGATTCTCCTGTGATTGATACTTCAAGTACACCAGAGATACGAAAGATTATGACACCTGAAAGAAGGAAACAACCCACATTGTCTCAGCAGCAACCTCAATCGTCTGAACCACTGGTAAGTCCTGAATCTCATATTTCTGATCATGATGTTAATACTTCTGATGACTTACCCATTACTACTGATTCTGATGATTTACCCATTGCTCTTAGAAAAGGAAAAAGAGTTTGTCCCAAGAAATCCTGTCCCTCTTGTACTCAATACCCTATCTCCCAGTTTGTTTCCTCTGCTAATCTTTCTGTGCAGCACAAAAGCTTTGTTTCAGCACTAGACTCTATTGCAATCCCAAAATCAGTACATGAAGCCTTGAAGGATAGGAATTGGGCTCAAGCCATGCAAGAGGAGATAAATGCTTTGGAGAAAAATAAAACATGGGAGGTTATTGATAGACCCAACGGAAAGAAAGCAGTAGGGTGCAGATGGGTTTATGCCCTGAAATATAATTCTGATGGCACTCTTGAGAGATACAAGGCTCGATTAGTGGCCAAAGGTTACACTCAAACCTATGGCATTGATTATGAAGAAACCTTTGCTCCAGTTGCAAAGATGAATACAGTGAGAAGAGGGAAATCCCGCCTAGTTTTGATTCTGTGAAGAGGGAAAATAAAGTTTGTAGATTAAAAAAGGCCTTGTATGGATTGAAGCAGTCACCTCGTGCTTGGTTTGGTAGGTTTACTAAGGTTATGATGACCTTAGGATACAGACAGAGTCAAGGAGATCACACTCTTTTCTTCAAGTACTCCCAAAATAGGAAGCTTACTGTGCTCCTTGTATATGTTGATGATATTATTATCACAGGTGATGATTTTGTGGAGAGACAGATTCTGCAAACACGGCTTGCCTCTGAGTTTGAAATCAAAGACCTTGGGAAACTGAGATATTTCCTAGGGATAGAAGTAGCTCATTCAAGCAAAGGAATTTTTATCAGCCAGAGGAAATATGTTTTGGATCTTCTCAAAGAAGCAGGAAAGCTCGGGTGTAAACCCTCTAATACTCCTATTGAGCAGAATCACAAGATGGACTATGAAGAAGAGAGTCCTCCAGTTGATAAAGGACAATATCAACGGCTAGTTGAGAAATTGATATATCTGGCCCATACTAGACCAGACCTAGCTTATGTTGTTAGTGTTGTCAGTCAGTTTATGCACGATCCAAAGGAAAAACACATGCAGGCAGTAGAGAGAATTCTTCAGTATCTTAAAGGTACTCCTGGTAAAGGATTGTTATTCCAACGTGATGGCAATCTATCTTTAGAAGTCTACACAGATGCTGATTATGCTGGATTCGTGACTGACCGTCGTTCTACTACTGGTTATTGCATGTTTCTTTGCGGTAACTTGGTGACATGGAGAAGTAAGAAACAAGATGTGGTTGCCAGATCAAGTGCAGAAGCTGAATTTCGAGCTATGGCTCAAGGCATTTGTGAGTTACTGTGGCTAAAAATTGTACTTGATGATCTCAAAATAAAATGTGAGGGACCTATGAAGCTGCTATGTGATAATAAGTCCGCTATTTGTATAGCTCATAATCTAGTTCAACATGATCGGACTCAACATATTGAGGTCGACCGCCATTTCATCAAAGAGAAACTTGATACCGGGTTGATTACCACTCCATACATTCCCACTGGGCGTCAATTAGCTGATCTATTAACAAAGGGGCTTCCTTCAGACAGATTTCAAGAACTTACTAGCAAGCTGGGAATGATAAATATCTATTCCTCAGCTTGAGGGGGAGTGTTGTAAATAATAATTATTTAGTTATTATTTAGTCATTTATTTGTTGTATTAGGCCAAGCCCA